GCAGTGTGAAATCGATGTTAGGGAGTGTGGGGTGGTTAAAAGGGGGTGGAGGGAGGTGGGAAGAAATAGAGGGGGGGGGGAAGGGGGGGGGGGGGGTATTGTAATTTTCTGTCGGGAAAAGGGGGGGGGGGTTTTTTGGAGAGGGGGGGCTTAATAGAGGATTTACGGTAATAATAATAATGTTAATTTTAATAATAATATGTATTTTACAACACTTGAGCACTTGAGGGCTGGAATCAAAGGTGAAGAGCTACTCTACTCAGACACATTGTCATATGGATATGCCTATGAGCTGAAGGAACACTAACTTGACTGTCTCAAAAGTTTGAGCTTTATAGATTTCATTTCCTTGAAGGTTGAAGCCCGCTGTTTATAGCCAAGTAAACTGGCAACCGACCTAAGCAGCTTTGTAAACAGATACACAAAGTTTTGCTGTTGCCCATAGGCCTGTCCCAATTGTGCTTGTAAAATACTGGAAAGTTGCTTACTAGAATGCCAAAAAGTTGCTTCCGAAATATGTAAACGTCAATTTGAAGCTTTATTTCGTTGGTCAAGAAAAATTAGCGTGAAACGTACCTTTAAAGTATAGCTTGCAAATATGGGAAAAAATTTAAGAAAACTAATTATAAATAATTATTCATACGGCAATAACTGCCCTTTTACGCCTGTAAAAACGTGGACAAATGAGAGATATTGTGTTCCAAAGGTTGCTAAACATTTACCAGACAGGACAATCCTCTCTTGACATTGAAGAAATTCCCATAAATATTGACGTTTTCTATGTAATTGTTGACTTTTTCGTGATTGATGTGTGCTCCACTCCTATATTTTGCTCAAAAATTGCACAGAAAGACAAACAATTGCTCGAGGTTTCTAGAACCGCAAAAAGTTGCTCCAAACGCCAAAAGTTGCTCAAACGTTGCTGAGCACATCGGGACAGGCCTAGTTGCCTAAGGGGAAGGGGGCTTTAGAGATTATTGAAAGTGGAGCCGTAAAAAATGCAGCCCCCTCCCCCAAAGAATAAATAATGAACACTCCCTAAGCACTTGTTGTAGCTTTGACAAGAAAAAAAGTCCAGACTTTATTTCTAGTTTCCCAGACTTTTTCCAGGTCTGGAAAATTGCTTTGCAAATTTCAAGACTTTTTCGAGAATTCAAGACTCTGTACAAACCCTCCTTAAACATGTACACCAGTTGAATTCTATATTAGAAAATATATTAATAATGTAGCTAGGACTGATAATTTTTTTAAAAAATAGCTTCAAAAATTGAGGGACATTTCCCTCTTTAAACTGATGAGTAGCAGTGCACTTACTGATGAAGACCTCACAGTACTCTGAGAGAGGACCGAAGCAAGTATATTTCAAACAATATTGTACTCTCAATAATTAGAGCAACTTACTCTTGACTGCTGGCGCATAAACGAAGGAAGGAACATATTTTCATTACCATCAGATTTTTGCATCCTAAAAAAAAAGAGTTCGTATCAAAAAATCTTCCAAATTTATTTCCATTGTACCTTACAAGCAAAATTAAATTTTCTGCCGATTTCTTCAGCAAACTGATAGAACATCTGGTTTTACTGAAATACCTGTTTTGTGAAAAGCATGACTTTGAAAGGGTTCGGGCTTGACCAAGGACAACTTCTAAATCTGGTAGCCCCTCTGGTTTTATCTGGCTTAAAGGATGGGTCTGCAATTGTAACAGGAAATCTCGCTCATATGTGAGCTTTCTTCCTTCTGGGTGTGATGGTTCAGTTTCCCCATCAAGTTCAGAAGACCTAGATTCTAGAGGAAAGAAATGAAACATGTAATCAAACAAGCCCAGAATTTGTTATTATTACTTCCCCAACTTTACAAATCCTTTAAACCTTATTAAATAGGAACATGCAAGTTCTCCACAATATTTTTCACAAATTTCAAGAAGCGCTTTAAGTATTTGCTAACGTCATGATAAAGACATTTTTTTCTTGGTGATAGTTTCCTTTGTTATCATAATCATAAGCATTCTGTGGAAATAAGTAGCGATATTACGGTACTATCACAATGAAGTAGCTAAAGTCTAAGGGTTTCATCAGGTCTGCTTAGCATGACCATTAAAGTGAGCATGTTAACAAAAACACTCCACTTGGAGTGACCTGCAGTGGAATTTACTGTAGTACTCAGTAGTTTCAAGCGCGCGTGACACTTTCAGAAGATGCGTTACTCAGTTAAAATATAACTTCTGAAGATTGTAATTTTAGCCCTCTATCTGTATTTCGCAATTCGGCATTTCATATATCAAGTTCAACAAAATCAACAGGAGTGTGTTTTCAGCTTCCTTTATCAATCTATTGCAAAAGGAGGAAATACCTGTAGGTTTTCGTCTTCTGCTAAAAACTGAAATCGCTAAAATAGAAGCTGAACAACAAGCACATGCCAAAGCTGAACGAAGGGATAGTGTTCTAGTTCTTCCACCACATTCTCGTACCCAGGATCCCGGTACTCCTTTGCATCAGTCCCCGCAAACCATCCAAAACGGACAGAACGGATTCTCGCAACAGAACAGAGGCTTTCCTTTGTGCACAAGAAAGATCTCTGCGAGAATTGCCTTCAACCTGGCCATAAAGTCCATCCAGTTCTGTCCAAAGAGCAAGATTCCCAATTGTCAAGACAAGCACTCGACATTCCTCGACCCGAAAACGGTTTTTCGCAAAGAATCTACCAGCAGAAGTCGAAGTACAGAAAACGACACAAAATATGTTGAGAACCGGACAGTAGCAATGGCTACATCAATGGCGCCGGTTGTTGTGGCCTAACTGGGGCCGGCGTCTCCACAATTGGCCTCCCTATCGTCCCCGTCAAAGTTTAGGCCAGAGGCTCAAACACCACAGTGCAGACCTACGCTTTCCTAGACGGTGGATCGAACACGTCATTCTGCAGTCATCACCTCATGAAAATGTTGGCTGTTGAAGGCAAGAAAACAACCATCAGCCTGACGACCTTGGGTAAACAACGGAACAACGGAGTGTGAGATTCTTAACCTCCAAGCTTTGGATTTGAACAAGGATAATCTCATCGAGCTCCCAAACGTCTTTTCAACCCCAAACCTAGCTACCAGTTAGCAAAGACAGCATTCGGCGACAAGAAGACGTCAGCAATTATCCTCACCTCAGAGACAATCATATACCTGACATAGAAAGCGACATTGGTCTACTAATTGGAAATGATGTGCCTGAGGCTCTTGAACCTAAGGAAATTAGAGATAGCAAAGGTGGTGGCCCTTATGCAGTGCGAACTATCTTCGGCTGGACAGTCAACGGCCCTTTGGAACGGAAGGGGAGCCTTTGTAGAACCGTGAACGTTATCAGAAGTGACTTCGAACTAAAAAAAGCAGTTTACAAGTTTCTGTGACCAGGAATTCAGCGACTCCGCTAACGATAAGACTACTGGTATGTCAAAGGAAGACCTGTGTACAAGGCAAGGCCAGTTGTTCCATGATGCTTATTGGAAAACCTCTCCGTCCTCTCTTCAAAATAACAGACCACTGGCGGATCACCTATTAAAGCTGTTGCGACGAAGATTGCAAAGAGATCAGGAACTTCTTTCGAAGTATTCCTCGTTCATGGACAACCTAGTTAAAAAGCGGTCACGCTCGCAAAGTCCCACAGGAAAGGATGAATCAGCCTGTCGGTGCAGTATCGTATCTACCCCATCATCCAGTCTTCAACCCGAATAAACTGTGTTCGACACACTTATGGCTGATATAGAGTCGATGTTTCACCAAGTGTACGTCAACCCCAACGACATTGATGCACTGTGGTTGCTTTGGTGGCCAGAGAATGATTTTAAGCAAGGAACCGGAAGAATATCAGATGATGGTACATCTGTTCGGCGCAACATCATCTCCAAGCTGCGCCAACTTTGCCTTACGGCAAACAGCCGACGATAACCAGAACTATTTCAGCAAGCAAGCTGTCGACAGTATCAAACGCAATTTCTATGTCGACGATTGCCTCAAAACAGTATCAACAGAGTCCAGAGCCATCCCATTTGTGGGCGAGCTTCGTCAGCTACTCTCCAAGAGTGGATTTCGCTTAACGAAATGTATTTCAAACTCCCGAAACGTTAATGATTCCGTTCCCGAGTCGGAAAGAACAAGTTCAGCGAAGGACCTCCTTCTTGACCAACTGCCCATTGAACGAACCCTAGGAGTACGACTGAATGTGGAGTCCGATACATTAAGCTTCAAAATTGTCGTGAAGGACAGGCCTACAGCTAGACGAGGTCTTCTGTCATTAGTCAGCTCAGTCTATGACCCGTTAGGGTTTGCAGCTCCATTTACTCTTCCAGCGAAGGTTCTACTGCGAGATATTTGTCGAATGAACCTTGGGTGGGACGACCCCACATAGAAAGAAGACCTAGCTCTTCCCACCTGAAAGTCGATCGCTGTTTCAAGCCGAGCAACTTTGGAGTAATTGTTTCCAGTCAGCTTCACCATTTAGTGGATGCGTCACAGCGTGCTTATGGAGCCGTTGCCTATCTCCGTATCGCTAATGCTGAGGGTAAAATCCATTGCTCCTTCGTCATAGGCAAGTCCAGGCTATCTCTACTAAAGCAACTGACGATTCCTCGCCTAGAATTGTCGGCAGCCGTAGTGGCCACTCGATTGGATAACATGGTCCGGAAGGAAATCGACATACCAATCAACAAGTCTATCTTCTGGACGGATAGCACGTGCGTCCTTGGTTACATTGCCAACGAAGACAAACGATTTCACACCTTTGTGGCCAATCACGCCGCAGCGATACAAGAAGCAACTTCCTCATCTCAGTGGAAGCACGTCAGCACAAAACAAAATCCAGCAGACGACGCCTCACGTGGCATTTCATCTGAAGCCTTGTAAAAACATAGGCACGTTAACCGTGCATGAGCTATTTTGAATGCTTCAGTGTAACTTTAATGCTTCGGTGTAACCTTACCAAGAGTGATGAATCTACCTCTTTCATCCTAAATGTAGATTGGATTTTTGTGCGAAATTGCGTATTGCGGTACATAAATGAAAACGCGAAACGCTCAGCTGAGTCGAACCTCAAGCTATATATTCACTTTCCTCTGTCTTTCCCTGTTACATCTGGTGCAAGTTAAACAAATCGTTAAAGTGAAATAAATTTCTACTCACCAAACGTTGATTAGAAGGAAAACTCTAAGGTTTCCTCAGAGTTTCTTAAGCCAAAATGTGACTCATCGAATACTGAATAGTTACGAAATACCAGGATTTTTATCATTGTGGTAGATGGTTGCATCATCATAATTCACGAGGTTTTCACGTGTGATTATACTCAGTGAAACAGTCTTTAACTTCGACAACTTATTTCGTCATGTTTTAAAAGCTATTGCTTCTCAAAAGACAAGAGCCTTTTTTAAGGCATTGGTTACAAAACGAAACAGGTCTTCATACGTCCAAGTTACTATCATTGTGAAAAGCCAATCTGCATGAGATGTACAGTCACACAGCTGGCGCGTGAAAGTGTTGGACTTTGCTCCCTTTCGTCGTTCGTACGTGAGGGAATTCGAGTTATCACACAGTAAACTAGTAAACAGAATTATAAAAATTACTCACGCACACAATTTGCACGTGAAGATGTTGGTCTTTCGCCCTTTTACAATTCGTACGGAAAAAAAGGCAAATTGTTTAGTACAAGATTTTCTCCAACGATTTTAAGAAATCACCTCGACTTCATTATAACATGTGCTATTAAATTATGTTTCATGCAACGTCAAGGTTGATAACCTAACATTTATTAACATTTGTGAAACAGTCTTTAACTCCGACAACTTATTTCGTCATGTTTTAAAAGCCATTGCTTCTTAAAAGACAAGAGCCTTTTTTAAGGCATTGGTTACTAAACGAAACAGGTCTTCATACGTCCAAGTTACTATTATTATTGTGAAAAGCCAATCTGCATGAGATGTACAGTCACACAGCTGACACGTGAAAGTGTTGGACTTTGCCCCCTTTCGTGGTTCGTACGTGAGGGAATTCGAGTTATCACACAGTAATCTAGTAAACAGAATTATAAAAATAACTCATGCACACAATTTGCATGTGAAGATGTTGGTCTTTGGCCCTTTCACAATTCGTACGTATAAAAGAGGCAAATTGTTTTACTACAAAATTTTCTCCAACGATTTTAAGAAATCACCTCGGCTTTATTACAACATCTGCAATTAAATTATGTTACGTGCAACGTCAAGGTTGATAGCCTAACATTTATTAGCTTCCAAGAAAATTATCAAACTGCCGAAATATATTTCTACTTATATCATGTTACTCCATTCAATATAACAGTATCTAATTATTGTGTCAACTAGCTTCTTCCAATTTTATTCCCTAACGCTACTGTTTCTACTTAAGTTATGCATCTTTACTAAATAGAACGAAAAAGGTCGGTTGAACTTTGTAAGTGAGAGAATAACATTTTTAAAGCTTGTTTACAGGATTAACAATACTCGATACAGCTTTCAAAAAAATAAGCTGCCTTTTAAACTTCTAAAACCACATTTTATAGGGCGCATACTTTCGAATTAAAGTCTATATCTAAATATCAATTATTGCTTCATTGGAAGAGATTTGAAAATATATGATCTTTTATACTCTACCCAGTTGTAGCAGGTGAAACAGAACTCATACTGACGTGCGTTGTACCGATAGCCGAATTAGGTCAGAAATGCCTCGAAGCAGCATCCACACTTAAATATGAACCCTTAAACAGCTGCATCACTGTTCACAGCGTTTGAATCATGAAGATATTTTATGTAATGCTTCCA